AAATCTAGACAAGTCTCCCTATATTTTTCTAACTAAGGTTTGTCCTTCCTTAAGCACCTATATTCAAAAAGTGACTTAAGCCAGTTTCTATTCAATTTTATTTTTTTCTTGGACATTTAAATTTGTGTTATTATATAAACACAGTTTTATAATAGTATGTTCTCTGCGATTTATCATTGTAAGAATAAAAAAATTAATGAAATTTACTACCAACAATTTTTTCAGATTTATTATGGAACTAAATATAATTTATCATGCTGTTCCTTTGAGACAGTATAATCCAGTTTCCAAAAGTCTAATTTACAAAGGAACACAACTCATGTAAAAAAATGGGGACTTTTTTTGTTTTCCCATATCCTAGGGTCTCCAAAGAGAAGTACAGGGTAACAAGACAAGAATATCTACTGAGGTAGTAAAAGAAAGTATTAAAATTCTATTTATTTATCCTCTTATACTTTTTAATTTTACTAATGTATTTCTTTTATGATGCTCAAAATATATTTGTATTATAGTACATATAATTTTGAAAAGAAATAAACATTTTTGAAGATGAATATTCAGGAGTATTTTGAGGATGATCTAGAGTATGTGATAAAAATTTTTGAGAGTGTTATTAGAGAATTTACATACAGTGGTAACAATTTAAACTTTGGAACTTGAAAAAAGGAACTTTTATTTAAAAGATTTTTGAAGCCTTTTCTCTCCCCCTTATACCCCCTTTAAAAAAGACTGTTTTTAAAAGTTGTTTTTAAAAGTCTATCAATATAACATCTTTTTACAGATAAAAGTGTGTAAAGCAGTGATTCTCAACTAAAGTTAAGGAGCACCTAGAACTTGTTTAAAAATACAGATTCTTGTGTCTCACACCCGGAGTTTCTGAAAGTCTGGGGTGGAGCCAAAAACTTTAGTTGCCTTGGGAGATTAGTATAGCAGGGTTTCTCCATCTCAACACTGTTGACATACATTTTGGGCCAGGTCCTTCTTTGTTGGGAAGGCTTCCCATCCTATGCTCTGTAGGATGCTTAGCAATGACTCTGGCCTCCGCTCACTAGATGACAGTGGCACACACCTCACCCCTGTAATGACCACCAAACATGTCTCCACATATCGCCAAATGTCTTTTGGAGGGCAAAATCATCCCCAATTGAGAAACAGGATTAGACCCTTTCCAAAGATGACAAATTTTGAGAAATGCCATCCTTAATTAAGAGGATAAAATAATGTGATAAAAGTAGAATATAGATACCTACAAGTATACATTATATACATTCAAACAAACAGGCTTCCCAAAAAGAAAATCCGATTAACCACTATAAACTTCTGACAATTCAGTTAAGCTTCTAAGTCAAAGCTCTTCTTATATAATTTCAACTTGATTCTCTCCCTAGCTTCTATTTTAGATTATTTTTAATTAACTTCACTGGCATTTTGCATCCTGCTATGAAAAGTCCGCCTAATAGTCTCAGAGGACTCTCCCAAGAGAGAAGAGTGCATTAAATCACACATTATCACATTAAAGTATATTCCAGCACTCAGAGTCCAACCGTCTACATCTTGGCAAACGCAATGGGGTGGGGGCTGGGGAGATGATACAGGGATGGGAACAGGCCCAAGTGATTCACAATATCCAAAGCCTATTATCTTCAACACATCCATCCCTACAAAAAAGTTGCATTGATTCTCTACTTCAGCTGCATTTATCGCAATGACATATATTTTACAATTTGTGCTTCCATCCTGATTTTTTGCTACTGTATATGAGACCTTGAGCAAGTCACTTAAATTCTTTGGGCATCCTTTCCCTTATTTAAAAAAAATGAGCAGGTTGGACTAAACTATTTCTAAAGATTCCTCTAGTTATAAATCACAAGCTTATGAAAGAAGCATTTAATTAAAAGGTTCTTTCTATTATAGGGATTCTAGTAACTAGTATGCCAAAGAGCAAATACCTACACTTTTAATATTGCTTTATAACACAATTTTAAAGTGCTTAATCAAAAAGGGAAAAAAATGACCATTAGAGGAAGCACACATACAAGAGCCATCCTTTTTTAAAATAAAAGTTAAGTATGGCCCAAATTGTCCTCCACCTATCAAGACATTTATACTGGTACTTTGCATTAGAAAGTAAATCAATATTTCACAAGCTAGTCATAAATAGGAAAATAGTTTTAAACTACACATTTAATTTCTATTTTCTACAACAGAGATCACAAATCAGCTGCTCAGAGGCCACATCCAGCCTGCAGGTGTGGTTGTTTTGTTTGGCCTAGACAAAGATTATATTTAATTAGTTGCCAACTTTTAAAAATGGAGAGATGATACATGAAGATCCAGATTTCCAGTATCACTTGAAATACTGGAAGATACTAACTCACATGACAAAAATTAGCTAGAACTCAGGAATGCTGCCTCCTAGCCCATGAGTTCTCCAGTTCCCGAAATCCCCACTGCTCTCTACTGTCTGACAACCATCCTGGTTCTCTCTGACAGCCTGGAGCACACAAGCTTATGTCCCTACTCTGTAACAACTTTTAAAAACACATGCGGAAGACTTCTAGTGCTTTATAATGCTTTCAAATAGTAAGGTTTGCACAATCATATCAAAAACGTAGAAGTTTTAAGGAAGGAGAGTAAGAATCTTAATAAGGAAAATCTTCCTAACTCTTAAGGCTGATACTTAGAATGAGCTACACTGTAGGCTACTAACCAACCACCAAAAAGGATACAGAATAGCATCTTAGATTTGATAAGGCGTTCAGACTAGAGAATTCCTAAAATTACTTTCAACTTTAAGGTTCCATGCCTTTGGTTAACAATATGGATAGCCCAATACAACATAATACAGAATATATATATAGGTTACAATGTCTTTTGAATATACCTATACATATAACTGCTTGCAGAGGAAGACTTGATCCTATCCTTCATGAAATGATATTTTCTGTTAACTTTTACAAAGCCTTCAGTTTTTCTCACTGACTTTAATATACAGAATTATAAAATTAAGTTTCAATGAACTACATGGCCATGTCCTACAGGAGAATTATTAAACTATTCTTCAGAAAGGATGATAAAGAATCCAAGGCCAGAAACAAAGGATAAGAGAAATCGAGAAAGGGCTTAATAGTGGCCTTTGAGCAATGCTTCTCCACAAACATCTTTACCAATAAAACCAACCATGGCAAGCTACACTTGAAGCTTTTCTCCACCCACTCACCAAAATTTTCTTCTTTAAATACACCTTATGAAATCTACCTGTTTGAGATACAATATTTTAACAAGATCGCAAGGATTACCTTTTTTAAAAATCAATTTTGTAATACATTTGTGATTAAATTGATCCCTACTTAAAGAATATTATAAGTCAAAGTTAAACTAATAAAAAAGCAACATGTAAACTATGTTGCTGAAGCTAAGGTAATTTTCAGGTAAAATATAACCCATGAGTTTCCACACTGATAGTATGTGATGCAAGCATCCTACACAGCAAGCATCCTACTTCAAGCCATTCTAGATGTCCTCCTTCTTAAGGTTAGATCACGTCATACCATACCGCATCACACTGCACAGGTGCATTAAGTACCACTGCAAGTTCTTCCAGCTGATTTGAAAATGCAAATTATTAAAGTTGGATGTGGTAGATATTACCTATTTTCAAATCAAATTGTTTTCCTTGGGTGTTTGATGTTGACTTTTGACATATGACTTGTTTAACAATAATGATTAACAGCTCAAGTGTGAGCATAAACAGCCCATCAATGAGTCGATATGACTACTGAGGGCATGCCTAATGACAGGAAAATGATTGTGTTGACAATACAACATGTAGAACATGGGCTGCTTCTGGGAAAACATATGTTTATTATTCTAGTTTTCTGATGTTCTGCAGCTAATCGTTTTTATTTTCTCTGTTTAGAAAAACGGCTCATTCTTTAGAAGCAAAAAACAGTGATAAATATAATTCAATTTAACAGCCCTGGATGGCAGAACATTATAATTTAACCATGGATGTTTTCTGCTTTTACTTATGGTGGCTTGAACATTAAGTTAACAACTTCTTTTCCACCTTTTGTGCCTTAAAAAAAAATCCTATGAAGCTCACTACATTATTATTACAGGAGAAAAAAAGCTACAAGATATGCTTAAAATCAAGGGTATAAGGTAGGCTTTGAGCCCTGGAAAAGTACTTAGTTTTGATATATGAGTGTCAGAACTCTTTAAATCAGAACCATCCTTAAAGTAAAATGCATGAGAAATTTAAGAACCTTGTTCTATGTCCCCAGTGAAAACCTGAGGCATATAAACCTCAAGAGAGGGAAGATACTGTCTAACCTGTTTATAAGCTTGTTATGGAAGTTTCCCAAACGCAAGAGTACTTATTTACTTTTATAGGCTGTATGTGTTTACACTTTGGAAGAACACAAAGGAGCTAATTCATTCTTGAAAAGTGTTTCTTTTAAAACATGTTTATTTCAAAACAAAACAGTTATTGAAAACATACGCATAAGCCATTCCAAAGCAACTGGTCACAGAAACCTGGATTATCAAATGGGTTGCAGAGTAGCCCACAAGAGACAGAAAGGTGAAAGGGAGGGTGCATGCTTGTTCAGAGAGCAGCGCCAGTCCTGGATCTGTTGAGGACACAAGAACTGAAGAGACTTAGGGAAGTGCTTCAGAACTTACATCTGAGTCTTAGGCCCAGAAACCCAGAAATGCATATGTTTAAGAAAAAAAGCAATCATGGTCATCCTGTTTCTTCCCAACCGAAGGAAGGGGGAGTGGAGGGACCAGCGGATCCCGCCCTCTTATCCGGTTGTTGATCCAGGGCAGAAATCCTGGAGAACTTGCTTGAATAATGCGAACTGTGCAAAAGTTCACAACCAGGAGGTTGGAAACCGTCCTGGCAGCACCTTCACCGTCCCCCCACCAGTAAGTGTGTGGGCAAACTGACACATGCAATAACGAAAGAAGCTCGCAACTCGCAAGCGCGCACTCACCCTGGGCCGGGGCGCCGAGCCGGCCGCCGCCCGCCTCGGCCGCGCGCTGCGGCCCCGCGGGCCCGGGAGCGCCGGCTTCGCCCGCGCCGGACATGGGCCGCTCCGCCGAGCCCGCCGCGCCGCCGCCGAGCCCGCCGCCCCGCGGGGCGCACGGAGGAAGGGCTGTTAGGTGTTGGGTGCAGGGAACTGACTGCTTCTGGAGTGGGGAAAAGAAAAATGTTTTCAGAGAAGAGCACACCACCCCTGCGGGACATTCCCTCCCCCTCCGCTGCCCTCCCCCAAACTCCACCCCGGGAAGTTTTGATTTGAAAGTAGCGAGGAAAACTGTTCCAGTGCGAGTCGACCGCGGCCGAGTGCCCGGGGAGTCCCGCGGGGAGCCGGGCCGGGCGGGCGCCGGGAAGAGAGGTAGGGGTTTGGGAGAGGTTCGGGATGGGATCAAAGCCCTCCTCTCCTCGGCCCGGAGACCACCACCTACCTCGGCATCCCCCCAGTCGCTCACAGCCCCTTCCTCCTCCTCCTCTTCCGCCCGGGAAGTTAGCGAGGCTCGGGCAGCGGCCGCATGTCGCCCCGGTGGCCTGACGACCGCGGCGGCCGCCCCTGCGCGTCCCTCCCCGCCTCCCTCTGGCGCAGCCTAGACGCCGCAGTGGCGGCAACTGCGGAGCGGCGGCTCCTCAGACTCCGCGCACTCCGCCCCCTCTTTCCAGCCTGCTCACTCCGGCCAGTTCCCCTCCCAGGGGGACTTTTCCCCCCTCTGCCTCTCTTTCGCCCCGTCCACCACTCCTACACTCCAACACTTCTCCCTCTGTTGCTCCCTTTCATCACATCCGGATTGGGGAGGCCTCGAACTCTTGGCGGGCAGCCCCGAGGCCGGGGGCGGTGCGCGACCCAGGCTGGCCGAGCGCTCCCTCGCGTCCGAGGCTGTCTGGGTCAGGAGGCCAAAGCGCGACTGGGCTGGCGCGGGCTCCCCACCCGGGCGCTACACGCCCTCCACGGGCTGGGAAAAGGGAGCGAATGGGCTGGCCCCTGGCTGCCCATATGTCTCCCCAGAAGCTCTGGGAATGCCCCAGGGAAGTAAAAATCTTTAGGGTGACAAGGAAAAACGAAAAAATACTAACTTTCTTGGTGGGACAGTGCATTTGAAACCCTGAGCCCTAGCTGAGCGTTTAACCTCTTAATCTTTGACTCTAAAATCACTTTTTGGTCAAACAGGATTCCTGATTTGGTAGAACCAGAATCCCTGATCAAGTAGAACCAGTTGCAGTTTTGTAAACCCAGGCATCCAGGCAAGCAAAGTTGACGCCTTTGAGGGTGTCCTAGCTCAGGTCTCCAGACTGGCCTATATTGCAGGCTGCATGCCTCACTGGACCAGTGGTATTGGTGGGGAGATAAACTTGTGGTCGGAAGTAAAAAACTGATCAACACTCAGTGCATAAATGAGACGTTGTGATTGTGTCTTAATCTGATGAGCCAACAATAACAAGTGTACAGTAATTCACAGATATAAATTACTTTAATAATATATTCATATAACTTTTGTTATTTATTTCATTGTGAGTGAAATGCAGAATTCATTTGTAGAAAGCTAGAAGGAACTCACTCTTTGAATCTCTACGATAAGAGGAACCACAGTGATTTTATCAAAATTGGAGAAAATGGACATTGGATTCACTTTCTTTCTAGATGTGTTATTAATAATAGCCCAGGAATTTCATTTCCTCAAAAAGCCCATTGGTGTAGATTCCAATGGAAGGGAAAAAATCCATCTCTTACCTGCAGCCAGTGCATTCAAACTTGATTTCAATCATCCTGAAAAAAACAGTCTTCAAAGTTTCTGATGACAGTCATTCAGACCACAGTCTTCCAAAGACAAATGACATTTTGCCCAATGACCCATAATTACCAAATGCTTTAAAAAAAAAAATGTGGAGATTTCAGAAATGGTGTGTGTGAAAGTGCCTTCACTCTCTTGAAAACTTGTCTAGGGGCCTGGACTATTTTTTATAGAACCGATTTGATAGACGCAGATGAATTCTGAGGATGAGGGCATTACCATCAGAGAACGAACATGTAAGAAGCCTCACTATCTACTGCAACGTAATCTGTACTCAAAGGAGTTGTTTAGAATGCAGAATGTTCTGGAAAATTCTTTGTTATTGTTTTATTATCCCTCGCTTTGTTTCTTTTAATTCTCTCACAAAGATATTAAGGTCCAGTAATATCAAGAAGTTACAGCACTCTTCTAGAAAGTCAGTGATAAATATTTGTTAACCTCACACAATTGTTAATGTTGCACACATGGTGAATGAGTCGATAAATACTCCTTGCATTAAATTTAAATATCTTACTCTTTAATGGGGACGAAATAAAGCTCAAATAAAACTATTAGGAATAATTTTATTTCTAATAGTTTAGAAATGAGAGTCTGTGTCCTAGAATCACCAAATGGCCAAATGCTGAACTTTGTTCAGTCATGTGATTTGGGGGAAGTTAGTTGACCCCTTTATGTCTTGGTTGCCTCATAAGAAACGCATCATGGAGTTTCTTTATGAGGATTAAATAAGATATCACATTATAATGTTATAAATGTTCTCCTATAACATTTGAAAGAATGTTGTACATGGGAAAAGATACTCAAAAGTACTAAATATTATTACTACTATATAGCAGAAGCATTTTGATGGGTACAGTTAAGCATGGCATAATGACTATATCACACAGGCCACATCAAAACACCAAGTAATCATGCCCTGCTCTTTACACAAATTATCTCAATGAATTCTTATATCAGCCCTTTAAGTAAATTGCCAGGACTGTACCTCTACCTCATTCTATCATTCTTTCACTCAATGTCATGAGCTGAATGATTGCATTCCCCAAAATTCATATGTTGAAATCCTAGCACCACATATGATGGTATTAGGAGGTGGGGCCCTTGGGAAGTAATTAGGTCATAAAAGTGGAGCCCTCCTGAATGTAATTAGTACCCTTATAAAAACACACAAGAGAGCTTGCCTCTTGTTCTCTGCTCTCTGCCATGCAAGGACCTAATCACCTCCCAAGGCCCTACCTTACTAATACTATCACTTTGGTGATTAGGATTCACTTAGTGATATGAATTTTGGGAGGACACAAACATTCAGACCATAGCACAGAGGATATATTATCCAAATTACCATTTGTGGATGCCACCCTGGTATAAATGTATAAAATGATTTGGAGGTACCAAGATTGGATCTAGGAAGTCCAAGTAGGAGGCAAGAGCTGATGCTGGAAGTAGAAATGGAGCCAAATAGATGAAGGTAAAGGATGAGGGAGTTAGAGGAATAAAGGAAAACTTCCAGGGTTCTGCATCTAGCTGTATGGTGGTTATACAATCTACAGAGATGGAAACATTCAGGACAGACAGGTTTGGGGGAAAACTGTTGAGTTAATCATGTAAATGATATAGTACCTTTGAGACAGCTAATGGGAACTGTCCAGTAGGCTGCTGGGTACGTTTCTGAAATACAAGCAAATAGATGGTACTTCACTAGCTAAGTGGTAATACAAGTGCCCAACGTGAGTGTGCAGAGTGAAAGCAGAAGGCCTAAGCATAGCTACGCCCTGAAACTCAACCCAAACGTGTCCTTACTGGCCCCTCTCCTTTTCCCCACACCCTTTCCAGTGTGTGGGGAAAGAGATTGGTATCTTTCCAGCTTGGAGAATCACCATTGTTTAAGTACTGCTACTGCCAGTGCCCCACTCGCTATCCCAGATGCCCATAGATGGTCTTTATTAAGATAGATTTTGCCATGTCTTATGCTACAGTAATCTGGATGAGTGGAAACTTTCCATGGGGACCAACCTGCCAGAGGAGTTATATGCCCTACCCCTGGATCAAAGGCCCCTGCCTTTGAAATTCCAGTGTGCTTTACAACCATTCCTGTTTAGTGATGTGCATGCCAATAATAATATAATAATATGCGATCACATTGCAAAAGAGGTCTGACATGAGCTAGGCAGACAAAAGTAAAGAACTAATTAAAAGAATTTATGAATTATTCTTAATCTTCGTCAGTTCTTCAATGGGCATTCATCAAACATGTATTGTGCACATACTATACGCTACGACACATGTTAAGCTCTAAAGATAAAGAAATTTGGTTTGATGTCTTGAAAATCAGCTAAATTAGTTTGTACTTGGGCAGAGGCTTATTTGCCTAGCTAAAGTCAAAGTTAATATCCATATATATATATATATAGCAGAGATTTACAAGTAGGGTATGCATTCCAGAGGGTGCACTAGACAATCTTGTGGAAAGTGGGCAGAAAATATTAGAAGGAGTATTTATATTTCTTTTCATGTTGTCATTTTTCATTTATATTTTTGATATGTTTTTATAAGGTATATAACCTATTAGTAAAAAAGTACTTGGGTATAATTTATAAGAGAGCATACATTAGGGATGCATACTCAAATATTTTATCAGTTGCTTTGTAAAACAAAAAATGATTTAAATGCTTTGAATCATTCAAGGTACATTCATTCAGTCATTCCCAGATCCTACCAAGGATGGTTTTTCTGGAAAACATATATACCTCATTTATGTAGAAGCACAACTTTAGCAATCTGCAAAACCAAGGACTTGGAAACCAAAAAATAACACCATCCCACTAAATATCTTAAACAACCTTCATGATCCTCACAAAGTGACAACACAAAAGCCATCAACTTGTTCAAATCCTACTGATTCTTTTGTGAACACATACCTCTAAATAAACTTTATTTTCCATTATTTTAGCTCACAGCTTATTATAATAAAAGAAGAAAATTTAGGGCACCGAAACTTTGAGAAGATACGAGCTAAGGAAGCTATTAAGTTAGTAATATGGACAGCAGGAGAAATGACAACAGACAAACAAGGAAGATACAGGAAAATAAATATGTCATAACAATGCCTCTGTGAATTTGGCTCAGCGAAATACTCAATGTTCCTAATGAAGACCTGGGTCATTAAGAAAAGAGTCACGGCAGGGCACAGTGGCTAACCCCTGTAATCCTAGCACTCTGGGAGGCCAAGGCAGGAGGATCCCTCAAGGTCAGGAGTTCGAAACCAGCCTGAGCAAGAGTGAGATCCTGTCTCTACTAAAAATAGAAAGAAATTAATTTGCCAACTAAAAATATATAGAAAAAATTAGCCAGGCATGGTGGCATTTGTCTGTAGTCCCAGCTACTCGGGAGGCTGAGGCAATAGGATCGGATTGCTTGAGCTCAGGAGTTTGAGGTTCCTGTGAGCTATGTTGATGCCATAGCACTCTAGCCCGGGCAACAGAGACTCTGACTCAAAAAAAACAAAACAAAACAAAAGAGTCAGTTATGTAAGTGCCATGCTGTACATTTTATAGAGCCAGGTCAATATTTTTTTACATTTTAGGAAAAATTACTTCAAAAATGTTCAAATAAAAAATGTTGCTATTTGAACGAGTGAATTTCACAAAATAACAATTTTATAGCTGTAAGGGAAATTAGTAATGATGATTTGGGGCCAAGATGATTGGATTGTCTTGCTGCACCTCCTACTACTATATTCTAAGAGGAGAGGTCAAGTGGACAGGTTGCTGAAATCCAGTCCTTACTTCAAATAGAGCATTTTCTTCTTTTTCTCCATAATGTATTGGTCCTTCCCTTCCATTTTAAACTGCTTCTTCCAGTTTTGCAAGTTTACAAAACCAGCAATCTTGTCTAACTCCTTCATTTGACATATAAAGAAATATAAAGACATACAGTTCATTCACTAGGTTCAACAAACATATTGACTGTTTACTGTATGTCAACCCACATGTCAGGCACTGGGGTTTCAAAAATAGAGAAAATACTGTTTTAGTCTTCCGGGAGCTCATAGTCTGTAAGGCAAGGGGTATAAGAAGGCAGCAGAGTAGGCGAGGGACATTCACGTAAATAATTACCATACTACAGGCACACAGAGGAAGTAGCACCTAACTCTGCTCAGGCGTAGGTGGGGGGAGTCAGGGGATGGTTCAGAGAGAAGATGATGCCAAACTGAGTGTTGACAATGAGTAAAAGCTTGCCTGTCAGAGAGGTTAGGGAATTCCAGATACAAGAGATAACACCTGCAAGACTACAGAAATGTGAAAGCCTCAGAGAAGTTAAATGACTTGGCAAAGGTCATTTAGTGAGTTAATTGCAAAGCCAGCACTAGGAGCCTAAGTTTCTCCACATCCAGGCTTCTTGCTCCAGTTACCTGGATAATGCATGTAAATGAATCCATTATTTCTAATGGTAAAAACAAGGGCACACTTGATGTCATATTTAGGAGCTCAAATATTTTTCTATTGTGGATGTGTGACTAAATAACTGGGCATAAAATCTCCTGTTGCTGAATTAACCGGATGTGTCCTCCCCCTCCAAGCTCTCAGTTAGTGTCCCTTTCAGTTGTCTGGCTTCCCTGGCCTGGGGCACTGGCCTTCAGAGTCTCTCCTTGCTGTCACTGCTCTTCCCTGCTTGTGTTTTGAAGGAAGGGAGATGAGATGTTAAGGCATACAGTGGTACACGTCAGATAAGAGCAACACGAAGGAAGACAGAAATGAAAATGGTCATAACATATGCAGCAGACAATGCTTCATATATAGAAAGTGAACCTAGATATACCAGGAGAATAAGAATTACAGAAAAGCAGTAAATGCAAGAGGCCATTGAAAATGATGACTGATCTGTTGAAGCTATAGTTAAACATAATCTTAGCATGGTAATCATGACAAAGATGTTTAAAATGATATAGATGATG